ACAAGAAACAAAAGCCCCGAGAGGAAAGTTTTGCACACGTTTCTCCCGTTACACCATCCTACTTTAATCTAATACATACCCGATCCCGCTTCTTTTGTATAATTAAGAATATCTATCTAGTGACCATATGAATAAGTTTTAATGACACAAACCCGATTTACCGGCTCTGCTCCGGTCCGGATTAACGCCATTAGGGCTGTTGTTCTGATTCCCGACCAGATTATTGGTCTCCTCGCCCGTGGACCGACTATCCTCCAGCGTCTCACACCGGCGCATCTTCCCGTTCTTGTGTTTTTTGTGCCCCCCGTGGCTGTGGCCGTGTCCTCCGTGGGAATGGCCGTGTCCGCCGACTCCGGCGTGCCCATGAAAGAGACAGAGCCCAAACAGGTTGACCAGCAGCCCCGCAGCCCCCACCCCAATCACCACCTCGGGCTTCTCGATCTCATGGGGCTCCGTGAAGCGCTCGATGGCCTCCAGGATGATGGTGAAGCAGAGCGCGGTGAGGAACACGGCGTTGACCAGCGCGCCCATCACCTCGGCCCGGATCCAGCCGAACGTGTTTTTGTTGGTGGACTGGGTCTGCTCCGCGAAACGCACCGCCACCAGAGCCACGACCAGCGCGATCACGTCCGACAGCATATGAAAGGAGTCCGATATGAATGGATCATTTAATTATTGACTCAAATGATTTGTTCAAAAACCGATTCATTCAGGAATGAAACATTGCAGTGCTGCTTTGAGATGCACAAATGTCCTGTTCTGGCTTTGTTGGGAACTATTTTTGTTGGCGAAACAGAAAAAAAAAAGACAATATTATGTCTAACATGCATCTCACTTAATATTAACTTCTTGTTTGTTGAACTGTTGTATAAAATCAATACAACATTTGCGATCGCGCTTCCCATATTCAGGAAAACAACACTCTTGTCTGATATTGGCTAAATATGTCATATCTTCTAAATATAAAAAACAACCCATACAGGGATCTTTTTTGCTTCCATAACTTGAATTATAGGGACATTGTAACTGTATTCTAATAGGCTTTATCACAAAGTGAATGCTTTTGGACTCTCAATCATCATTGCTCTGTGTCATTATAATTATAGCTATAGTGTGGACTTCCCTATTCTCAGAATTAGAACAATTATTAAAACTTTATAGTTTGATCGACCTTGGTGTGCCAACCAATGTAAAGTTCTTCCAAAAGCCGGCTGTGGGTGATGTAACCCATCTGTTCATCTCTCATGTGATGTGACCCATCTGTTCAGATTTCATCTGGGGTGTCTTAAACATGCAAGCAGACAAGGCCTTGGTTGAAATTGCTCTAGATAAGCCGAGTGACTGTTTCAGCTTGTATTTGGAATAAACTGCTTTTGTTGAAAGAACATATCTATACAATTCTGCTTATCAGATAAACACAGATAAAAGCACAGAAAGAAAGTGTTTGCACATGATCTTCACTGGTAATGAGCTGCCATGCCATCCCATTGTTGTGAATCCATGGAAACAAAGTGCATTTAACCTAATTATGCAAAAGCGCAAGGTTGATTGCTGCTCAAACTATCACAAAAACGGATTAATCAAATAAATAGTGTGTGATAATGGACAGGCAAGCAGCATAAGGAAAACCTCTAAGGCCAGTTACACACCAAGTCATTGGTCAGCTGGTGCGGTCCAATGACAGGCCTTTGTTGAGCATCTGTCGGCACAGTTTTTGCGGTAAGTTCGTCACTGTTTGCACTAGTCAGACGCCGTCTGCGGCTTTTTGGCGCATGTTGAACTGGCTTTGGTAAGAGAGATCACTCTGATTGGCTGTTTAGCTTAGCGAACCAGTGCACAACAAGGAAAACAGAAGTTTTCTCATTATTCTCATTATTATTTATTTATACACCTCCTGTTCTTCCTTTCTTCTTCTACAAGAACAAGTGATAATGCCGATAATGCCAGTTCCATTTGCATCTTATTAGATATATTTTAATATAAAAAAAAAAAAAATCATATGAAGCGAGAAAATAACGAAAACGGCAGTTAGCACTGCTTATGGTTTACGGTTTGTATATCTGCAGTTCTACTTCTGGTTTCCCTTTTTGAATAAAGAATACAGACTACTGCCACCTGCTGGTACAGATAGCTAGTTACTAAAATGCAGGCACAGAAGGTATGCGCTAGTTGGCTGTTGGTGTAGGCGTAGTTCGCTTCTGCAGTGTGTTCAAATGCAACTTACTGGCCCAGACGCAGACGGGACGGCAACACCGTCACCAATAGTTCTTTGATGTTGGCTTGGTGTGTCACAGCCGGGCCGGTTGTCGCTCTTTTTATTCATTGTCTTTTTTTCTCTATCACATGTTTTAGTAATCATCATAAATTATAAATCATTTGAAAGCTTAAAACCTCAAAATTCATCCTGTGAAAACCATTTTGAAATCGGACATTGCGTTACCATGGAAATGTTACTTTAAAATCTTTTAGTGGACTCCTCCCCCTTAGTGGGCGGTGTCAAGTGTCATATTACAAAATGTATTAGGGGCTTTTAGAATCAAACCTTTTTATAAGCTTGACAAAATTCATATCGTCGGAAAGGTCTGAGTCTCAAGATTCCATATTTTGTGATAGACGTAATACTGACAGAGAAAGTTAGACATTTGTGGCAGAAAAATGCATCAAAATATTCCTATGGAGTTTGGATAGCACCCGGTAACTGTTTGTGGTATAACACCCAAAAGAAAATCTCACAGGAACCTCAATTCTTTTTATATCAACTTCAAATTTGGAACATAACTTATTTAGACATAAGGCTTTAATTTTTTGGATTCAAAAATATTTTGAAAAATATTTATTTTATATAAAATAAAGAAATGGTACAGTGTATTTTCTTTACAGTAAATTTAAACTTCTATAACTTTTTGATACTTTCATATTTTGAAATGATTCCACTTCTGCAATAATCTGCAGATTGTCTTAAAAAAAAAAAAAGAGTCCAACCACAAGTCTGTATTTATGAATTATAACTATTTAAGTTTGGATAGTGCACTTCCACATTTATGTTCAAAAATGGGGGATGACACTTAAGGGGTTAAGAAACTGAACTGTTAGCTGACCACCTACGTGGCTTTGATTGAAGGCTATTTGACAGTCCCCAAACAAAGCCCAGAACCGTCACCAGAGCTACGACTAGCGTGATCAGTGATCATGTCCAACAGCATTGTGACCCCAAATTCCTACATGGTCTTAATAAATTACCTAACTACCAATCTCTGCATTTATCTATAAAAAAAATATAAAATAAAAAAATCAGTGACAGCTAATACAAAATCACCACAATTCTACTGTAGTAATAGTATAGTAACTATATGTTAGCAGAAACCATGTAACCATAGTTTAATTTAGCCAAAACCAGCCTGGTTGACTAGTCTTTGCTGGTCTTCAGGCTGGTTTTAGAGGAGTTTTGACCACTTCTTTAGCTGGTCAGGCTGGGGGACCAGCTGAACATCAGCTTGACCAGCATAGGTTGGTTTTAGCTTTTTTTTCTCTCAACTTTTCACAACTTAAACAGTTGTGCATTATAATTAAGGTATTTACTTACAGTTTACCCAAAAATGTCAATCCTGTCATCCTTTGCACACCTTAATGTCATTCCAAACCACTAAACAGTTTTGGTTACCACTTTTTAAACAAACTTAGATGATTCCTGGTAACCAAATAGTTTAGCTACGACTGACTTCTACTGTATGGACAAAAGCCCCACGGAGACATTTCTCAAAATATCTTCTTTTACGTTCCACAAAACAAAGTCATACAGGTTTGAAATGACATGAGGGTGGCATACATGATGCCATAATTCATTTTGGGGTGAACAATCGCTCGAACTGAATGTGTTTTGTTGCCAGTGGTTGCAGACTAACAAACATGCCCAACAAGAAACAAAAGCCCCGAGAGGAAAGTTTTGCACACGTTTCTCCCGTTACACCATCCTACTTTAATCTAATACATACCCGATCCCGCTTCTTTTGTATAATTAAGAATATCTATCTAGTGACCATATGAATAAGTTTTAATGACACAAACCCGATTTACCGGCTCTGCTCCGGTCCGGATTAACGCCATTAGGGCTGTTGTTCTGATTCCCGACCAGATTATTGGTCTCCTCGCCCGTGGACCGACTATCCTCCAGCGTCTCACACCGGCGCACCTTCCCGTTCTTGTGTTTTTTGTGCCCCCCGTGGCTGTGGCCGTGTCCTCCGTGGGAATGGCCGTGTCCGCCGACTCCGGCGTGCCCATGAAAGAGACAGAGCCCAAACAGGTTGACCAGCAGCCCCGCAGCCCCCACCCCAATCACCACCTCGGGCTTCTCGATCTCATGGGGCTCCGTGAAGCGCTCGATGGCCTCCAGGATGATGGTGAAGCAGAGCGCGGTGAGGAACACGGCGTTGACCAGCGCGCCCATCACCTCGGCCCGGATCCAGCCGAACGTGTTTTTGTTGGTGGACTGGGTCTGCTCCGCGAAACGCACCGCCACCAGAGCCACGACCAGCGCGATCACGTCCGACAGCATATGAAAGGAGTCCGACAGCATCGCTAGAGAAGACGTGATCCGGCTCACCACCACCTCCACGATGAAAAAGCCGAAGGTGAGCGACAGCATGCAGAGCAGGCGGACCCGGTTCGGCGCGCAGGCCATGATTCCGCCGCGATACGAACACTCGTCTTCTGTCTCCCGTCTGCAGACGGCTGAAACTTTGCACCCGGACCGGCGAACTTTCCACACGGAACACGCTCAGCGTCAGGCCACGCCCACACTCGCCTGCGATTGGCTGAACGCTTGGGATCGAGGAAAATTTAACTCGTTACAGGAAAAGCGAAGAATTGCATTACTAAATTCAGACCCCTTGTCCAAATACCCACACTTCCCTGATAGCACACGTACATCACCGAGTGATATAATTGCGAATAATCACAATTATAAAAATAAAACGGAAAATATTATCAACCCTTTATTCTAATAAAACATTAATCCCAGTAATAAAACATCTATAAAATGACAATACAACACATTATCTTTGATAAAATAATGCAGTGTTATGACCAAAAATGAAGTGTTGTTCCACTGTACTGTACAAATGCTACAAATAAATAAAAGCAGAAATCTTATTTCCTAATGTACACAACATACAAAAAAATGAATAATAATATTATTATATATATATATACTCTTGACTTGATCAGACTAATGCACCACTTTCAGTAGTACATTGTGGTTCATGGTTAGCGGATGCCCTGCATTTCTCTAGGCTTTGGTGAATAAATCTTTTCTTCTTCACCAAGAGCCGGTATATACATGTTAGCCCATTGATGCCTCTTTACAAGACGATGTTCTTGAGGTTTAGTGATCAGTCTGCTCTCAGGTCTGCTGTTCTCCTTGCCATCTCCTGCAAAGTGAACCCTCTTCTTTCCCGGAGAGATGTTCTCTTCATTCTCTGTCAAAAACAGAATTATGACATTCTCATGCTTTCAAGGTAAATATATACAAGTATTTTCTTTCATTACAGGATCTTTAACCCAAATAATGTTGGCTAAAAAGACTAAATTCAGTTATGCTTTCCTTGTTGCTGCACACTGCCCTCCTCAGCCTTCACAAGTGTTGTTTGTTGGCCTCATTACTGTCAGACTTTCACAATCTTTCATCACTTGAACTGAGATGATTATAATAATTTAATTTTAACGCACAGCCACCACAAATCAGACATTAGCACCTCGTTTTACTTTGAGATTGTTCTGGGGTTAAATACAGATTTAGTCATAACAAGAAATAGTTTAATAGCTATGATACCATTTTTGAAATCAAATTTTTACATAGCTATGACAGGAAACACTGGCATCTAACGATGCCTTACCGTGCGTTCACACCGCCGCCGTCGAGAGCGTCAAAGTGGCCGGAAGTCATTCATTTTCAAATGGCGCTCTTCCACTGCGTGGTACGACTCGGCTCAGTACGTCAGGGCACGATTCGGCTCGGCTCGGTTTGCGTTTCCACTGCAGTTCAGTACCGCTTTAGAGTGGGTGGGATTATTCACATG